GTACCAACTTCATTAATAAAGTCTTGCCCATTAGTTTTGGACTTACCCAACATCTTGATGGCTACAAGGCGACCACTGCGGAGCTTTGCCTTGTATACAGAGCCATAGCCTCCTTCCCCCAATTTGTCCTTGAAACCTCTAGCCATCTTTTTGATGTCCGAGTAAGAGTACCTTATTGGCATGAGGTTATTATTACTCCGTAGAAAGTCTTCTATATTCTCATACATCGACAAGTGCCTCCTTCGCCATTTATATATTAGCAGTGCAGTTACAAGGGGAAAACCAAATGTAAATTTGGCTGCCAGGTATATTGCTGCATGGTTCGCAAAAGTGGAATTAATGAACACGAAGTATAATAATAATATACTCCTTTGCAAATCCATCTCAATCAAAATAAGAATATTAATGTTCCAGTGATCCACACAAGTATTCTCTTACCTAGGGAAGCGACTGCACATCCCAGAAGCTGGCCAAGGTATAATCCGGATGCATGCATAGGGAAACGCCGTTCAAAGTGGAAGAGCGCATATATTTTCTCAAGCCCGGGTCCTGCAACAGAAGTAAAGAAATCAATCGATCAATGGAATGACTAAGGTGGTTAGTCAAGCGAAAAGGCCAAAGAAAAGTAAACGTCTATTTACAGAGTTGAGGGATCCACTCGCCTATTCTATCGATTATCTTCATCATGATCTCGTCGAACCAACGGAGTACTACATTGAAAAGAAAGAAGACGGTAACATTAGTATCAAGAGAATTCTGGTTAGACCGACATAAATTATACACAAATTATGAAAGGAAAACTGTAATATTATTATCTTCATGAGCCAGGGTGCCACGTCGTATACATTGAAAAGAAAACTGTAACTGTTGGAAATCACAGTTTAACTTCCATGGGTAAAACTGATATTTAACATAGTTTCAGAGGGCACTATGGTAAATAACTCATCTTTAATATATAATTTATAATTTAAAGGTTTGGCAATTGTCTAACCTCCTAGTGGTGAGCATTGAATTCCATTGACGGTGCTGTTCAGCCCGCAAAATTCCCCTGATCCGCACTTTCCTATACATGCATGACGAAGCCATGAGAGTTCAAAGCCATGCGCTATTTCATTATATATTCCTTTGCAAGACGTCATGTGCTCCTCAGTTGTAGGGGACACCATAACCATTAGTGTTATTTTGCAGGAATCCCCCAAAATTTTTAAACTTAGGGTATCCCCAGCCCAAAGTGTTATGAAATAAGAATATGTTGCTAAATTGGAGAAAGAAGAATTGGAAGAAGAATAGTTGTTGACCCCACTGATGCATGGAGCTGTTTCAACAATGTGATCGGAAGGATTCATTGGATTTTCACAGCTCTGGAAGATTATAGACATTGATAATGCTTTTGGGTAATCAGAATAACGGATGTAATAATAAGGACCTGTATAATTAGAGTAATAAGAAAAGTTGAAGCGGGTCAAGGAGTAGAGTGGGTGGGAGAAGTAGTTGTCCTTGATCTTGTGAACACCAGCATCCACAAGTCGGATTGTGAAGTTATTGTAATTGATTGCTTGTACATAATACTTTCCTGAAAACAAGGATAGCACTGCATGAGGAGTAGTACCATTTCCCTTGGCCTCACAAGATAGCTCGAAGCTTTTGTTGCCGCAGTGTTCAGAGTCTCCTTTCAATCGGAATGGGGAGCTTATGTTAATATTTCCACAGGAACGATTGCAATCAGAGATATCATGAGCTTTATTAGCTGTAATATTATTGGAAGCTGTTTGGGAACAAGAGGAAGGAACAAGAAGAAGAAGAAGAAGGAGCACTGTGTAAGCAGCAAATAGGAGACTTCCTCCAGACATGCTGTCAGAGCACAAGGGAAATTTCCAATTTAGTGCAGTTTTAACTCTTTAAAGAGATAATATAAAGTTTTTTTTTTTTTTTTTTTTTTTTTTGGGGGGGCTTAATCAAAAACAAATTAAAGGATTCCCTTCCAGGTCGGCCATTGACTAAAACATCCAGAAGGAGTGGGGCCCATGTCATCTCAAGTAATCCACACAACGAAAAGAAACCCAAGTCCATATATCATATCATATCATCTTCAAGGATACTTGTACTGTGCAAATAATTTCTTGCCATCATGAATTTCTCACGGTGGTTGCTCATGATAGTCGTAATAGTAGTAGATGCAGTCAATGGTGGAGTAGGCCATGAAGATTGCAGAGAAACAAGATGTCGCCCGGAAGGCCCAGCCATCCGATGCCCATTTCGACTTAAAGGTAGGCAGCCAATCCATTGTGGCTGGCGGGGCTTTTGTTTTTTT